TGCAAATAAAATAGGAGCCTTTGAATAGAAAAAAAGGAGATAAAATGGTGAAAATGGAAGTCTTCTCTATTTTGCCTGTCACCTCATAAATGCATGAGATGTTCTTTGGCAGTTGCTTGGGTTAGGACTAAAGTCAGAAACTGTAAGGATGTAGTCAAATTTATTCTATGAATATAGTCATATCTCAGGTTAATGTTTATGTTTTTTTCTATAATTAACTTAAAGAATTTTCACTCAATATTTAGATAAATATTATTTTAACTATGGGTGTAAGTGCTTGAAGACTCACTTTAATTTGGATTCCAAGTCAGATTCCTCCATTTATTTTGATGGGCAAGTTGTCAAGAGTTAAATGTTTATTTAGCTCATGCTGTTTAGCTGTATGTTTTCTCATAGTGTGTAGTTTGACACAGAGATCCTTGGTAAACGTGGGAGATAAAGCTGGAACTTGAGCTATGTGGGACCCTACTTGTGTTCTTTCATTACAGAAGCCTTAGTAGGTCATCTTGTCTTTAAGAACTGTTCCAAATGCCATGATACTATCCGGGATATCTTTTTAAATTACAAAGAGGAATTTACTTATAAAGGCTAAGGATGCCTTCTTTTTGTTGCATGATTACAAATCAGGTTCCTTGCAATCCTTTTCCCGTTCTCTGGCTTGGAAAAGATGTGTCTTTTTCTTTCAGATCAACCAATCACAGCCCTTTAGAGATAAGGGAAATCCAGGCATTTGCCACTATTCAGAACCATGATGTAAAAATTGTGACACAGGCACGTTTTTTTCCCCCAAGCAAACATTAACTCAACAAAATAGTAAAGCTCCCACATGGACAAGAATATTTTAACACCTTTCCATTCAGACAGGTTAGGTGGTATAATGCTACAGATTTTCTGATTTCAGAGGGGGCCTACAGGAATGCTGGAGAGGGACTTTTTACAAGGGCATGTAGTGATGGGACAAGGGGGAATGGCTTGAAACTGCCCGAGGGGAGACTGAGCTGAGCTCTTAGGCAGAAGCTCTTCCCTGCGAGGGTGCTGAGGCGCTGGCACAGGGTGCCCAGAGAAGCTGTGGCTGCCCCATCCATGGCAGTGTTCAAGCCAGGTTGGTCACAGTGGCTTGGAGCAAGCTGCTCTAGTGGAAGGTGTCCCTGCCCGTGGCAGGGGCTTGGAACTGGATGAGGTTTAAGGTTCTTTCCAACCCTAACCATTCCATGATTCTATGATTTACTTTTGACAAGTGGTTCACTATTTCTTAGAACTCTTGGAATTAAACCCAGGGTGACCTGGATTGCAAGCCATTTTCTGTAGATATAAATTCACTCTGGTGAATGACTCTAACTCCCCAGTATTCTGAACTGCACTTATTTATTAGCTCTGCAAACTCTGTGGTAGTGTCAGGGCCTCTTTTAACAGCTGAGGTAGGATATAACAATTACAGGTGCCCCAGTTACCACACATGATAAGTTGGGAGTCTCATTAAATCAGTTGCAGTGTAATGCATCTGCTGCTTAAGCCAACATGGGAAGAGCTCTACAGAATCCCTGGACCACTATATTTGGGTTAAAATCTTCATTTGCTGCTTTAGAGGTTGTAGAATTGTCTTCCATAATTTTCCTCTTCTCAGCCAACAGAGGTCTAGGCTGGCTGTATGTGGGATGCGCTGTAGAATTCCTTCGTTTAGCAGCGTATTTGCAGGAGCTGCAGTGAACACACTGCATATGGTTATGGGTTTGTAAGGTTGTTTTTTTTCCCTGGGGTCCAAAAATACTGATATATGGCCAAGAGCTTAAACTTCCAGCAGAGTTGGGCAGTTAATGAGAAATAGGATAAGTTAGCCCTTCCACAAATCCAACCTTTATCCATAAGTTCTTGAGAGCAAACTGAAACTGGAAAGGACCATTTACCATAATGATTTTTCATTAAAATTTCTGTTTTCTGTTTCAGGTGATGGTTTCTATGAGTAGCTAAAGATCTCTAAAAGTGCTTCCCATTTTTTTTATTCATTAGCAAGTATTTTTATACCTGTGGATACAGTGAGCATCCGTGTATAAATTTTTACACCTCTGGATTATCACAAGTTGGTTGGGTTGAATGAATTCTTCATAGAATACCACCCAAGTTAGCACAGTTTCATTGGCTAAATAGGAATGTTGGACTGCTTATTGAATCACTGCTCTCTGAGAGACAGAAAGATGTGTATACTGTCACACAGGATTTTGTGAGCTGCATATAGAGCTATAAATAACTTCTTGAGGTACATCCAGGCTAATAACTGAAGGCAGGCTGGAAAATAGATTGCTGAAACCTGAGTGCTGAAACAGGTAACGAAAAGAATTCAAAGAGAAACACTGAAAACATAGATAGTGGTCTGATATCTACATTTTTGTGCTTCAAAGCATGTATCCTCAGTGGGGAATATGTACCAGTATCCAAAGATGTTGAGTCAGTACTGCAGTGTCCTGATTTGCTTATGAAGTATTGGTTTAGGTCCAGTCACACATGGCAGCAGGATGCAGGGAACATGGTTTGTCACTAATTCCCTTTTTTCCCCAGTGCTAAAATGTTGTTCTTCAATTCTACAAAAAAGGCAATGTTGATGGTACAAAAATTAATGTTTTGAAAAGAGAAAGAAATGGCACAAGGGGGGCTGATAACAGCATCTGAGGCTGATAGCAGCATCTGATCCAAATGTGTCTTAATGAACCGAGCAGATTCTGTGCTTGTCACATTTGGCCTGTGGGTTTTTGTACTTCACCATCAGAGCAGTAACATAACATGTTCTTGAAGGACTTGTGTGGGAAATGAGAATATTTTACTTCTGCAAATGCTTCTGAAGATCAGGCTGAACACTCATATTGTAACTTGATCACAAGCAATTGTCATAAGAGCGACATTATGAATTAGAGGAGGATTTTTTCCTCTGGGCAGATTATCCCGTAGTTGCCTACTGCAGAGTTTTTGCGTCTTCCCTAGGAAAGAACACATACGTGATTACTAGGAACAATAGGATTCTTCATTGAGTAGTTAAAGGGTCTTTTCTTGGAGAGCAGCTCCTGTGTCTTCTGAGGATAATGTCCTGACTTGTCAGTCATGTCTAGGAGTTGCATGCTATGAATAAATATACATTTTATTGTGTGATACTTCCAAGCAGGTGCAAAAAATGTGTTGATATGTATTACTTAATATTTGTTGTTGTTATTAAGTCTCCAAAGAGACTTGCTAAGTAATTACTTTACATCTAATTAGCTTGCATTGTTGAGGTGGGATTTTGACCCTGGCTGGACCCCAAGTGCCCACCAAAGCCACTATGTCATTGCTCTCCTCAGCTGAACAGGGGAGAGGAAATATAATGAAAGGCTCTTGAATCAAGATAAGGACAGGGAGATACACTCAGCAGCTACTGTCACAGGCAAGACGGACTTAGGGAAATTGGCCAGTTTGATTTCTTACCAATCAAATCAGAGCAGGGTAATGAGAAATAAAACCAGATCTTAAAAACACCTCCTCCCCACCCCTCCCTTCCTCCCACGCTTAATATTACTCCCAAATTCCCAACTTCCTCCCTCCCAGCAGTGCAGGGGGACAGGGAATGGGGGTTGTGTCAGTTCATCACACGCTGTTTCTGCAGACTCCTCACACGCTTCCTCTGCTCCAGCGTGGGGTCCCTCCCACTGGAGGCAGCCTCCCTTGGGCATCCCCCTGCACTAGTGTGGGGTCATCTCCAGGCTGCAGTGCATCTGCTCCACTGTGGACCTTCATGGACTGCAGGGACACAGCCTGCCTCCCCATGGACCACAGGCTGCAGGGGAACCTCTGCTCCGGTACCTGGAGCATCTCCTCCCATCCTTCTGCACTGACCTTCGTATCTGCAGGGCTGTTCCTCTCATGTCATAGAATCATAGAATAGTTAGGGTTAGAAAGGACCTTAAGATCATCCAGTTCCAACCCCCCTGCCATGGGCAGGGACACCTCACACTAAATCATATCACCCATATTCTCCCTTCTCCCTCTGGCTGCAGTAGCTGAGCCATTTACCCCTCCCAGTATTATCCCAAAGATGCTACCACTCTGATGGGCTTGGCCTTGGTCTGTCTTGGAGCCCGTTGGCACTGACTCTATTGAGCATGGGATATGAGCATGGACAGGGTGTGTGGTACCTTTTCTACATTCCATTTTGAGACACTATTGCAGTCTCTACAAAATAACACGTTATAAATAAATCCACCTGACTCATCAGGTTTTGATTAGTTTAATGAGCCATATCTCTTTCTATCATCAATGGGCTAAATACAAGAAGGAAAAACACAAATAATGTGTTATGGTATTTGTCACTCGTTTGGTATGTTCCTTTAAATGCAATTTCAGTATTGTAATGCAGGGTACAATATTTCTTTGATGGTTTGTTACTAATACTTTCCTTTTTCCCAGCTGGATTGTGTCCTGCAGTAATATTAACAGCTGCAAGATGTTTCAGTGCAGAGTGCATTGAAGAATAAAACCAGGCAGTACTGGGAAAGTTTCAGAATGAAGGTTCATGGTGGAATAATTGAAATCTACTCTTACTGCATTGTCAAATTGATACCAACTCCTCTTTTGCTCTTAAAATGAGGCTGTCCTTTTTGATCTCTCCACTTGTGTTTAGTTTGTGCCTTCATACATTTAAATTGGAGGCCATTAATGTGAGTGGATAGTGTTCAAGCTGCTTGTATTAACTATGACTTCTGACTAGGTTTAGAAAGACTTAAAATTAACTTACATGATAATGTAATAGGCAAAAGAATGGAAGTAAGTCGTGAAGGTCAGACAAACGTTTAAAACTAAACCTGCAGTTCTTGTGTCATAGTATATTGTAAAGGTAAAGATATGTATTTTACATGGCTGCTGTGGAATTTGCTTCCTTTTGAGCAGATTTGTTACAGCAAGGAGAGTGTAGCAGTAAACAACTGTCCTATCCTACTCATTCTGCTTACTGACACTGAGGAATCTTGCTTTCCTTTCAGATGCAGTTTCCACATCTGCTTACTCATCACCAGCCAAAAGTTTGGGAGACCCTGGAATCACTCCATTGTCTCCATCACATATTGCGGTAAGAAATGCACTCTTAACATATACTGTATGTTGACATTACTTTCCCCTGTGTATTTAGTGGGACATAATTTCTTTAGAAAGCTGTCATTTCCTCACATAGAGATCCCTTTTATGCTATCCATAGCCTTAAGGGAAATTTTGGTCATGCTGGGATTGGTGACAGAGCTGTCATTCATTTCACTGGGGTCCTGATTTTGCTTTATTTTTCTCTACTTGCTGAGCTGATAGATGTGCTCCTGCATATTTTTGTACTGAACAGGAGGGCTTCTTGGTCCTCAGGGTTACCAAGTTCTGTCTCTGTCTGCCACTGGTTTGTTTAGGCAGCCCCTGAAATGGCTCATTCTGTTCATTTAAAAAATAAGAAGGATATAAATGATGCTCAGCAGTAAAATCCAACTTCCCAGGGAAAGGAATCTCTTCCAAAATATATAACATACATATATATATATATATATATATAGAGAGAGAGAGAGAGAGAGAGAGAGAGGAGTTCAAAATAGAACTGGTTTAGTTCCTTAAGGAAAAACTTCTAGAAGCAAACAAATGTCCTATAAAAGTAGTGTGCTTTAATCTCTTGCACATCATGCTCATTTGGTTGATAAACTCCCATTAAAACTGGGTCCCATCTGTTTCTTAAGGTCATCTGCATCATCTGTAACACAGTATATGCATGGTGTATTTCTTGATATTGCAAAAGGTCATGTTCAGAACACATTGCTACCCTTACCAGATTTTTTCCTTAGATTTTTAAATCAAGAGCTGTGCAACATTCCTCTTCAGGGTTTCCAGAGTGCACTCTCATAAATATTTGCTTTTATTCATTTCTTTCTTCATATACTCGATAACGTATTCCCTTTTTCTTCTGTCATAGTGATGAATTTTATATCCTCTTTCAGTTAGATATTCTCCTTAAACTCTTAAGACTTATAAAGTCTTAAGGAAGACATATAAAAACCAGGTTGCCCGAGTTGAAAAGCTGTGTTAGGAGGACCCAAACAAGTTTTTCATTATTTCAGACCAAACCTTATTACTCTTGTTTCTGCATTTCAAGTTGCAGGCCCATGGGATTATCATGGAAAATGTAGGGGTACAATAGAAAGGTGTTGGAAGTAGCAGGCATGGAGATAACGGTGATATAGGAGGAATATCATAGAATCCCAGACTGGTTTGTGTTGGAAGGGACCTTAAAGCTCACCCAGTTCCAACCCCTGCCACAGGCAGGGACCCCTTCCACTAGAGCAGCTTGCTCCAAGCCCCTGTGTCCAACCTGGCCTTGAGCACTGCCAGGGATGGGGCAGCCACAGCCTCTCTGGATAACCTGTGCCACCCTCACAGGGAAGAATTTCTTCCTAATGTCTAATCTAAATCTACCCTCTGTCAGTTTAAAGCCATTCCCCCTTGTCCTATCACTACATGCCCTTGTAAAAAGTCACAGTATCACAGTATCACAGTATGTTAGAGATTGGAAGGGACGTCAAAAGATCATCTAGTCCAATCCCCCCTCTCCTGTTTTCCTGTAGGCCCCGTTTAGGCACTGGAAGATGCTGGAACACTGCTCATAGGGTGATGACATTTGGGAGATCCTTTGTAAAAGATAATAACAGTTGCTTCAAAGTGTGCTTGAAAGCACAGACTGAGCAGCAGTGGAGGAGGATTGAGACATAACCTGTATGGTAGTAGGTCAACAGGTCTTGTTCCATGGTGATTTTGCCAAAATGATGTGTGTGCAGACGGGTGTATTGCCCTCCTTCACTGTGACCTGCCTTTAGCACATAGCCTTTTCATCAGTATTTCCAGCTTGTTCTCTTCCTGTCTTGCTAAGCTGTTAGTGCTTTAACCACATTAGCCTGTGAAGAGTAGCTCCTTGCTGTACTTATGGCTCCTTTATGTGGGATTTATGTTAGGCAATAGCATACTGGGGAGTCATGCAATTCCTTGTTTATTCACATCATACTTTATATCACATCATTATCATTTGGGCCATAATCCTCCCACCTCTTCTGGTTAATGTTCCCATATTGCCCTTGACTGTGCTGTTCAGGGACTGCAGGATTACAGGTAAAAGGCAGGAGAGGGATTCAAATTCACTGTAAGCAGTTCAACAGCTTTCCACACCCCAGCACAGGCAGGAGGAAACGGAATGCATGTAATGCTTACAAAATCAGTGTTATGTAAATTCTTCATAAATAAATAAATAATTACCATAGGTTATAAAGCTTATGGCTGTATTTTGGGTTTTGAATAGCAATAATGCCTCATGTTTAGGGTTATCACATAGTTTACTCCTAAAATCACCAAATAAGTCCCAAATATGCCACGTTGATGGATATAAACATATGTTTCAGTTGATCAATTTTAGGAAAAATACCCCAAACAAACCAGCCCCCAAACCAGTAACCCAGTGTTCAGCCGTAAGTTTTAATGATACCAGATAGTAGCTATTCCAAAGAAAATTAATGTGAAGGAAACTCCTGATTCCAAAGGTTATGTATGAAAGGCTCCAGGAAATATGTTGATTTGTATATTGCATTTCCACTTCCATTGAAATGTGCAGCTTTCTGGTATCAGCTTCTGTTGCAAATGCAACTTTAGGGAAGTCCTTATTTCCAGTGAAGAGATGTGAGTGTCTCCGAGAGCAGAAATACTGAAGGGTAAGACAGGTTGCAGTTACTCTGATCAGTGACTCGGTGTCTATCTTGCTGTTTAACAGAAGGACTCTGATGCAGATGATGCTGTAGAACAGTTATTTCTTGTTGTTGTGGCTATTGATTTTGGCACAACATCCAGTGGCTACGCCTACAGCTTCACCAAGGAACCAGAATGTATTCATGTAATGAGGTAAGGGCTGCAATGCAGCATTTAGTTTTTGATCGTGATAGCATGCACTGTCTGCAGTAGCTATAGCTATTCTCTGCAAGAGCCTGAAGTGTCCAGATTTGTTTAGTGTTGCCACAGTGTACACGTTTGTCATGGTTATAGTTTTCTTTGTTGCATCTTACTGTATTCTAATTTGCTTTAATAATCAATGTGAATATGTCCTCTCTTTTGCTGAGTTCACAAGATGACATGAGCAAAGGGAGGGATCAGTGAGTGTTTGAACAGTGATAATTATTAAGTCAGGATGCTCTTTCTCAGAGATTGAGAGAAACTGCACCTTTATTAAGGGTCATGGCATTTCAGAGGTGCTGCCTGTCCCTTGGAATCATGTTTGTTTGCAGCTGTGTCTGCAATACTTAGTTGCTTGCACACAGAGACTGGGAGTTCCTGTGGCTGATTTAAGCTTTTTAGCATGAAATTTAAATCAACTCTCTGATAATGAACCAGTGATATTGGGAAATAAGCAATCAAAAGCCATGAATGTGAAAATTAAGGTTTGAGAAAACCTGTTTTGTATTATATGTATGTAAGGGATGGACTTTAGGTGCCATTATGTGGGTTGTGGTATTTTTATTTCTTGATTTAATCAACACCATATAAAGCTGCATATAAATCTAATGCAATCACAAATGCTTAAACTATTACGGCAGGTGCCTGAAAGGACTGCCCTACAAACCATTTGTTTTATATGGTTATTTAAAACTTGGTTTTTATAACTGAACCCCTATGCAATTCTTATTAAAACTCTCCTTTAAATGACTGTGTTGTAACAATTCCAAGGTATAGATAATTTCAGACACAAACAAGGTATGCCTGAAAACCTTAGCCATACAAGTGCTTCTGGACAAACCTGCTGTAGGTCATGTACTGTTTGCAGCAGTGTAATCCTGAGAACAAAAGGGCAAAAAGACTGACTTGTAGTCCAGTGTGATATTCTGTGATTTTTCTAAGCAAAGATGCTAGCTGAATGCAGATCTGCCTCAGCAGACAGTATGGATTGTGCAGTGAGCCTGCATAGCAGGTTTTGTATACAGTTGCAAGTATTTCAGAGATCCAATGCAGCTGAGTGGTTTGAAATACTGTCTAAATGGAGGTAAATATTGCATCCAGTTGCAAAGATACTTACCCTTTTCACTGTGGATGAGTAATGCTTCAAGGCCTTTTATGCATCTCATCCATCTATTGTTCTCTGAACAGCACAGGAAGCTGTGTGAGGCTGGAAGTCAAAGGCCAGGCCATGTGTTGCTGTCTCAGACAGGTTACAGGGTTGTCAAGTTGGAACCTATTTTTATTAATGCCACTTGTCTTATGACAGCAAATGATTAATCAGCTTTCTCAAAGAAGCTGAATGCAATGAGGGAGTACATCTCCGAAGCTGTACCTGAGCAAACCTACTGTTGTTCCCATAATCTCTATGGAGATTTTACTAAGTGAAATCACTGCTGTTCCTAGCGATGTCCTTTATGCTCTTCGGATTCCTTACCTCAGGACCCAGTTTTTGCCATTGGGCTCACGCTATACTGCACTAAATTGCATACTAGATCCTCCTTCCAGGATACCAGGCTCCCTGCTGGGACATTAAAATCTAGGTGCTGTGTGGCTGGCTGAGACTATGTTCCAAATGTTAACTGGTATTTTACTACTTATAGTTCAAAACACCACTTTTTCTTCCTCATTCAGTAATGGTAGCATGATTGTGATTTCAGACCTGTGTACATATGAGATACTGATGTAAAAAGAAACTAAACCCATTTATATATTTTCAACCAGAAGGAAGGAACTTATTTTGGGAGGGGGAATGTATTCAGATTTCCAACAAGGTATTTTAAACCATGGAAAATGTTTTAATACCAAAAATTATTTATTTTCCCTTAATAAATATTAGTGGCAGGGAAGGTTTTTTCGGAAGATGTACCAAAACTTCCTTATGAAATAGCCTATATTTTTATAGATATTTACATATAAATCGACATAAATCATGAAATTCAATGAAACGAATGGTGTATGTATCAAAATAAGGCTTCAGTAGTTCAGAAGGTATTAAGAGGTTCAAACTCTGTATATAATGGGCCTCACATGTTGGATGATTAACGAATATTTCAGCAGAGTAAATGCAACTTCCCGCCCGCACTCGAGAATGTTTACATGAAAATAAAGCCTACCAGTGATGCATCGTCCTCTTTGCTTCCTCACATATTTTCCACCTTCCCTACTTAGGGGTGATCCTTTCCAGACATTTAGATTTCTGACTGCCTGTTAACAAAGCTGCTTTTCTGTAGCTATCTCAGTTAAGGTTAAGATGGGTTTATTGAGAAGGTCCTACTTCAGAAAAGGGTGAACACCCAGCACTTACTACCACTCTTGAGTGTAGTATCAGCAAAGTTGTGATTCCAGTTGTGTAATTAGTAGACAAAGTCATGTCTTTGACTCTGTGTGCTTAATTGCTGTGATGCCCTAAAAATATGTATTTATAAGCATTGACCTAACAAAGTTATTTGAGCATATACTTGGCTTTAAATGCATGAGTAGCCTCACTCATATCAGTAGACTAGAACACGTATTTGGAGTTGGGTGTGTGTTTCTAGATGATGGATGAATGACTGCACTTTGATTGCCTAGAATAAGGCATTGTTATATCAATTTTAATTAAGGTAATAATTCATGCCTGTCAACTCTTCCTAGTTCTTCATGCTTCTACACAGATGATAGAATCCCAGACTGGTTTGGTTTGGAAGCGACCTTAAAGCTCATCCAGTTCCATCCCTCACACCACAGGCAGGGGCACCTTCCACTAGAGCAGCTTGCTCCAAGCCCCTGTGTCCAACCTGGCCTTGAACACTGCCAGGGATGGGGCAGCCACAGCTTCTCTGGGCACCCTGTGCCAGCGCCTCAGCACCCTCACAGGGAAGAGCTTCTGCCTAAGAGCTCAGCTCAGTCTCCCCTCTGGCAGGTTCAAGCCATTCCCCTTGGCCTGTCCCTACAGGCCCTTGTCCCAAGCCCCTCTCCAGGTTTCCTGCAGCCCCTTCAGGCACTGGAGCTGCTCTAAGGTCTCCCCTTCAGGAGCCTTCTCTTCTGAGGCTGCCCCAGCCCAGCTCTCTCAGCCTGGCTCCAGAGCAGAGCTGCTCCAGCCCTCGCAAGCATCTCCATGGCCTCCTCTGGCCTCACTCAAGCAGGTCCACATCCCTCTTGTGCTGAGGGCCCCAGATAGCTGTGGTTAAAATGTATGTGAAGAATCTGGCCATGAGTTCAGCAAGCACTTCAGTGGTAGGGGCAGTGCCAAAGCCAAAGCGAAAGCTGTAGAATCAGTTAATAATAATGTCTCTGTTGGAGGGAATAGAGAAGGTATAACACAGTTTTGGGAAAACTCCTATTGATTTATATACACTTAAGTGAAGTTATAAATGTTTTGGCTGCTGGTTAAGCAGCAGCAATCTGAATGTATTTCACAGATGGAGAAAAATAAATGAAATAGTGCACGTGATTATGAAAACTGCAGCCTGTCTTTGGAAGGTGGCAGAATGTGGTCTTTTTTCACTGTAACTTCACTTCAACCTTCAGGTTTTTCCTTTTGCTTCTCTTCCCTGTTTGATTGTAATTCTTGGCAGACATGTGCTTGCCTTTCTCCTGCAAACACACTTCTAGCTGTGTTCAGCTACGTTTTGATGACCCCACTACTTCGTTTCCCTGACTGTTATGCTGCAGTTCTGTATCAAATTCTCATCACTCTGCACGAATCGCTCTCTTTGCTCTCTCTGTCAGCCAGATTCAGGGCATTTCTCTAACCTTAGTATAACCTTGTGATCCTTTCCATGCTAACTTTCTTACTGCTTCTTTTTTCACTTTTAATATGCAGTCAGACCCTCTGTGGCTATAAACAGGTCAATGCTGATACGTGGAGCTACTCCACTTTATATCAACCTAGGAACTGGTCTAATATGTCTGAATTTAGGCAGAAATCTACACCGGGTTCTGCTTGAATAGATTTGCAGCTCAGACCCTGCTTTGAGAAGATATAGCCCGTGTGCATTTAGAATACTTCTGGCTTGTGTTAGTCTATGCTCTTAATAGGTATTTCCATATATTTTTCTTTAGCCTAAGAGCAGTAATTACTATTCTTTTGCCCCTATTGGGGGGCAGAAAGAAGACTGCAGATGAAGATGTGAAATCCCAGCCCTACTGGCTGGTATCCTCCACTGATTGAGTGCTCCACCTGAGAAGAATGGGCAGTCAGAAGTTACCATGTGCATACTTTTGCAGCTGCATCTCTCAAATAGATGTCACACAGGAATACCTTTAAAGCTCTGATTGCAAATGCTAAAGTCAGGTTTCCCATTCAGTTTCCATTTTGCTCTTTATGTGACCGAACAGTAATACAAGCTGAGAACTTTAGAATATGCTGAGCCATTACTGTCTTGAGTTTCCATCAGAAACTCCTCAGGAAGTGAACATCCAATTCTCTAGGTGGCTTTGAAACTTTCAGCCCATACCACTGAGCATCAATTTATCTTCATTTAAACTGCTCCTTAAGTGTGCTTATTCCGGACAGAGCAAATGTGCCCAGCCGCAATGAAAAATAAAGAAGTTTTGTTATTAGCCACATCCTATTTATGGAATTTCCCACCAGTGACTCAGAATGAATCATTAATGATTCCAAGCAAAAACGATAGCAGTCTGTCTCCTCTCTTTTTGCAGCGGGTGTGTGGGATTCAGCAATCTGGTGAAATAGGCAGCGTTTTCTGCTCATGGGCTGTGGGATCCCAGCTTCTTCACATTGCAGCCATATGTTTGCTCTAACACCTACTCAAAGAGTTTTCGAGCTGACCAAAGTACATTGCTTAGCAGCAGGTTAGAAGGAATGACCTGGAGCAGAGCCTTTGCCAGCTAACAATAGCTCAGGGCCTGAGCAGTGGGAGCTAGGGAGGTTTAGGGAAGTTTTTCTGAGCAGATGAAGGTGGAAATCATTTAATTTCCCATTATGCTGTTTCTGCTCTCAGAGCAGTGGAATTGCCCTGTACACTGAAGTGAATTCATAGACCTGTTATTCCCTGCCATTGGTAGTGCAGAAAAGGGCAGATTTCACTCTGTTTGATCTAGCTGAGTGGTCTGAAGGGTTTCCAGCACTTTAGAAGATCCTCTTCCTTGTTACTTTGCCAAGTATTAACCCCTTAGATTGTCATTTTCCGTATCAGTTGTCTGCCTTGGTCTGGAAGTCCATTAATTTTCAATTGCCTCAACTGTTTCTGAGAGTGAAATGGAAGAGGTTTTTTTCAGTGAGAATCAAGTAGATTGGAAAAGACCTTTAAAATCATCCATAATCTTCCTATGTCACAGAAACAAGTACCACAAAACAAGGCAACCTTTTTGTGCATCAGAACAAGAACCTTGGCAGTACTATATTATGAAAGTGTGTTTGGCTATCTTTAGAAAGAAGTAATCAACATGTGGTTTAATAATGAAAGCACTTGCCTGTGTGATCTTAACTTGGCTCCTGTTTGAGCTGTGTTATGATTATGCCTGACAGCATAAACAGATTTTCCACTAAGGCCTTCTGAAGAAAATGTTTTCTGGTAAGTGTTTGTTTAGCATGCTGAAAGTACACGTACATAGGGCGAGGAGGAGCATTACTGTGAGGTTCTTGTTCTTCCATTCTGCTTTTTTCTTCTGATGGAGCACTGAGGAGAAGACAAGAATGCTCACAGCTGTGTCTGTGCTTCCTACTGTCTGACCTTGTCCTGCCATGCCCTTCCGATTCCTGCTGCTGGGTGTTCACGTATTCAGTGTTCTTATTTATTTCTTTATCCATTCTGTGAATCAAGCTTTGGGTTGCTTTTGCCTTAATACTTTTGTGCTTCTTGGGTCTTCCTGAAGATACCTTCACGATCTTGGTAGGATAGGGTAGTTTTATTCACCATTTTACTGGGTGGTAGTGAGGGAAATGCTTTGGTGGAGATTTGGGGCATTTAAAACACAAAATCCATCAACTTCAGGTGGGTAGAGAGTGCGACGCAGAGAACTCAACATCTGCAGACGTGTCTTCAGAGTTTCAGGTGTCCAGGAAATCAGACACAGGATTCAATTCCGGTTGAACTGGCTTGCCTCGCTTCAGAGAGCGTTCTGTGAGAGAAATGGGGATCTAATCGACTTCTCTGCAGTTGCGCTCAGATGGCTTAAACAGGTCCTTAACTCAAAATGGGGAAAATATTCCCTACAAAGAGGCATTCATGGACTCTGATTGACAACAGATAGGCTGCTCATTTTGAAGATGTGGGGTTTTTCTTAATAGTGTTCTTGGACAATTACCTGATTTCTTTTCTTCTGTACAGTATTTATTACATGCATACACTTGGTCTGAAAATTTAAGTGTTTATTGTGCATGACTTGCTTCATGGAACCTGTACGCTTATCAAAGACAGAGCATGATTATGTCCTTAAAAACGATATGACTAACTGCAAAACGTATTGAATTATCTGAAATGAAAATTACAGTCTTCTTTTCTTGGATGTGAATAAAATCACTTGCTTTTGGTATTATAAGGATTGAAATTAGTGTTGTTGGAAGGCAAAAGTAATCTGTGCAGTCTGCCACCACGTTGTTTTCCTCATGATACACTGTTTTTCCTGCTGCTCCAAACATTAGTATCACTTACTGAAGCTCTTTCGCTTGTTGGATAGGCGATGGGAAGGTGGGGATCCAGGCGTATCCAATCAGAAGACACCTACCACTATCCTCCTAACACCAGAGAGGAAGTTTCATAGCTTTGGGTATGCAGCAAGAGATTTCTACCATGACTTGGATCCCACTGAATCAAAGCACTGGTTGTATTTTGAAAAGTTTAAGATGAAGCTACATACCACTGGTGTAAGTAATAACCAATTCCCTTGAATAATTGAGTTTGAAAACTCAGATTACCTTCCTGTGAACAGTACTAGATTTCTGCCTAAAGATTGTCAACTATATGTGAAGTGGTTCTATATCTGTTTAGAGAGTAAATAAAATAAAGTCAGTTAACATTATGATTCATTTTGCTTCTCGCTGCATTTGGTGAGTGTATTTTGCCAGCCTTGTTTTTAGATCTCAGAAGTTCAGTATCTGCTTTGCTTAGATCTTCATGTCCTAATTTGCCTGGGTGAAATTCATAGCTGTCGAGGGAGTCTGCATGAAGTTGGTTTGTTTTACAACTCTAGTCAGAAAACAGAAATGGAGCATAAGATCCATCCAGAACTCTAGTGCAGAGGAGCAAATTTACCCTGAGTTCATTGTCAAAACTGCAAGTGCAAATCATGTTGCTAATTTGACATTATTCCTGCTGATTATATTTTTGCCTTTAATCCATTCTAGAGTTTTGGGACTTGGCCAGTACTTTCTGTAATGAGGTGTTTTCTGGTTTCATGTGTTGGTGGGAAGCCAAAAATCTATGCTTTTAACTCTTGGATTAAATATCTTGCATATGCAGCTTTGTTGCAATTAATCACAGATACATTCAATGTAATTCTTTAATAGGTAGTCCATATTTCTTTCTCTGCCCGCAGCTATCTGTAGATACAGTAGGTGTTAAAAAACAAAGTCTAAAATAAGCAGCAGATGTCATGCTCCAGGAAATTCAAGTGATGAGTTAGATCCTCTTCAGAACAATTTTGTCACTTTTTCCTAACCAGGTGGATAATGAAGAATTCCCTTTCCTCAAGCAATGGGAATTAATTTCATGGTTTCCTTTTCCTTTTAATAACTTCCACTTATTTTCTTTCATGTAGAATCTTACCATGGAGACAGACCTGACAGCTGCAAATGGCAAAAAAGTCAAAGCACTTGAGATATTTGCTTACGCTCTGCAATACTTTAAGGAACAGGCATTAAAGGTAGGGTAATGCTTCCTTATCTAGATTTGCTGGTTTTATAGCCGGTATAAATGTGAGATTAGCCCTGCTAACCTTGCCAAGCTCTGGCCTCAGTAGTATTTGATGTAAACAAAGTAAGGAAGCTGTAGAAACTCTAGGCAGGCTGTGGACTCTGGAGATCTCACAATAGCCTGAAGTGATTTCCCCTCACACAGAGGAAGCTTGATTCGCTAATAGTTAAGTGCATCACTGAGATGCAGAGCTCTGAATATCTTCTTACTGGCTTAAATATTTTCCACTGTTTTTTTTTTTTTTCATGGAAAAAATGTTGATTTGAAAAGACAATTAAAAAATGCAGGTGCTGAAGCACAGGAATAAGTTTGAGGATGTGTCCTGTCCTCATCTCCTATACTTCTGCTGGAACAACACGTTCTGTGTTCACTCAAGACCAGAGCTAGAGGGGCAGGATCGCCTCCTTCGTAACCAGCAGATCACAGTTTTGATGTCTCCATTGTAAGAAGGACATGGAGCTGTTGGAGCAAGTCCAGAGGAGGCCATGAAGATGATCACGGGCTGAAGCACCTCCTGTGTGAAGACAGGCTGAGAAAGTTGGGGCTGTTCAGCCTGGAGAAGAGAAGGCTGCGTGGAGACCTCATAGCAGTCTTACAGTATCTGAAGGGGGCCTATAGGGATGCTGGGGAGGGACCCTTCATTAGGGACTGTAGTGATAGGACAGGGGGTAATGGGTTCAAACTGAAACAGGGGAAGTTCAGGCTAGATGTAAGGAAGAAGCTCTTTACTGTGAGGGAGGTAAGGCACTGGAACAAGAGGAAAGTAACAGAGACATCTGTTAGGGATTTAATTTGTAAAGTCATACTGTGTTCTGATGGACTGCCTCCATTTATGTTGCTTTTCTCTTTTCTCCTTTTTCTCCCCCTGCTGTGGCTGGTGTGGCTTTTTATTTTCCATTTCCCATTTGAAATGTTGAAATACTCATTTCTTGTGATATTCTTCTTGGGACACAAGGTTGTTTTGCATATTCTTCTGCAAAATATATGTCCCCAGGAAACAGGTTTTTGAGATTTAAAATCTCATATAAACAGTCAAACATAAGTTAAGTACACACTGGCTTCAAATGCAGCACTGTAATGTCCATGTAAGCAAGCTGCTGAGTCAAATCTGTATATGCATCCCAGCAAGCATTGTTTAAAATGGCCTTGTTAAAATGGAGCCTACCATTTTGGATGGGTTTAACATATTATCTGTGAGATCTCTTTAAGGGAACAGGGAACCGTTCTTGCCGTTACAACTCCAATTCCTCATCTGGTCAAAGACTTAACTAGATTTTGGGATTGATCATGGAGTCACAGACTTGAGCCCATGCATAGTCTGGGGAATTTCTTAGTGAATGCTGTTGGGTTTCATATATATGCTGTCCTGCCTGCTCAAGGCTACAGCTTTTCTTGATGTTAATAAATCCCTGTGATTTATGTGTGCATGCTGAAACTAATTGGACGAGTGATGTAAATGAATCGTTACTTTGCACCATCATCTGCCCATTCCTGTGCCCTGTGCAATATAAAGGTAGCACTTTTCCAGCCTGGATTTTTGAACTGCAGCATAGCTAAACAAACACAACACCTTTGCACAGCACATGCAGAAAGAGTTTTTCACATTCTAAAGGCCTCTTGTTCACTTTTCTGAACCTTTCCCTGTTTGGATGGAGATTTAGATAGGACATATGGTAATGACATTTTGCTTGGAACCTTTCCCAAAACATGTCAGTATATCACCTAATTCGCAAATGCAATACAGACTTTCCTCTTTTCAAGGGGAAAAAAGGGGACAATAAAAGAACTAAACTGGTCTTGAGTGCTTGCTTAGAGCAAAATTTTCAAGGAGCAAGCAGTTATTTTTTTAAAGGGTTTAACTGTAACTTCCTCTTGTTAACCGAGTTGTAAAAAGTTGCTTTAAAGGTACATGGTGTATAAAGAAGTCATTGAAAAACCCAGATTGTAAAGCATAATGTTCATCAGTGATACCTCAAATGTATTTCTGTGTATTAATCAAGGTGCAAGTGTGAATTCCTCAAGCGAACAGCAAATCCCGCACTGTGACCAAGAGTGTACGTGAATGCTCTGTAACGTTCACCAGTGCAGGAGCTGCTTTTGGAAAAACTAACTTTTCTATTTCATGTTAAGCAGTAAACTTTTCTATAGCCCTCCTTGAGAAGGCTTCAACCCTAATCCCGCTTTTGGCGCAGTAAAGCATTCTTGACAGGTTGGCAATAATTCTGATTTGTAGTGTGGATGGAAGAGGAAAAGAGTTGAAGAGAGAAAGCTACTGTTACTCGAGCCAGAAGAAAAGAATGTTTTCTTATGAAGTGGACACCCATCATTTTACACTGACCTCTGGTTTCATCTTATCTAGGAGCTCAGTGACCAAGGAGGCTCAGACTTTGAAAACACTGAAGTAAGATGGGTCATTACAGTGCCTGCTATTTGGAAGCAGCCTGCAAAGCAGTTTATGAGACAAGCCGCCTACAAGGTAAGATTACAGGCTGAATGTAGAAAAGCCCCTTTAAAGACCTAGTTGATAGGCTAAATGATAAACTTTATTTGGGACAATTAGTTCTGGTATAAACTGTATACAAATGGTCTAGAAAAGAGACTAGTAACACTAACGAGGAGTTAACTCTACCGAGCAGTAGCTTTGAGTAAGACATGTTTACCTCTTAAATGACTTTTTCTTTCTATTTACTTTTATATATTGGTGTCCCTCATTCTGATGTTTTAGTCTTCTTGTGCACTCTGTTCCCGCTGAATTTGGTGCACATGAAAGCGATGCAGTTTCGAGACCCAAGGGAAAGCTGATTTTAAAGTACTGCACACAGTTTGGTTCTGTTATTTTCTTTAGGTCATCACAGACTTTTTAAGTAAAATAAAAATAAAGAATAAGGAAGAGGAGGGAAAGCAAAGAACCTCCTCAGTGGGACTTTTTTCCCAGTTCCCATTTTCCCACAGTAGGAATGAAAGGATTGTGAACTGGATAGTCTGGATATAGAGCTAAATTGAAATGTTATTTGCACCAGTAAGAGGTTTATCTGCATTTTAACTCTCTCCCCCTAAACCTCCCCAAATATGTGCACTTTCCATATGCATGTCCTTTATTTCAAATTCAGTTTGTCTTTAACACATGAGATGCACACATTCTTCTTTTCATCAGGATGCTCATCTTCTGTTTTGATTTCTATTTATTTACTTTGGTCAGAGACTCGTGTAACCCACTGGCAGCAGCGATGTGATGCACGTTATGTAAAATACCTCTAGTAGATCATGAGTAATTTGCAAAGTGCTCCTGGGAAGCACCCAGATTTTTCTGACTCTGTTTCTAACTATCTCTAATGTTGAGCAACATTTTTCTTAACAGTCTTTATTGTGGGATTGCTAATGCTAGTGCCAGAAGCAAAACACTCTTAAAGTTCTGATGGAAGGACACGGTTGTAGGTAAATCTGAAACGCTAGAGACCCATTCATTATCTCTGTATATTGTTGTCTGCCTGCTGTCTGTGTGCATGTGTGCTCGTGAACTGGGAGCTGTGTAAGGAGCAGGGCAGGGTAAAGTAGATCTCTTGGCATTTCTCATTTGTGGCACAATGGAATGTCATTAACTAGTGTCTGTGTCTGTGGTTGTGTCTGTGATCGTTGTACTTTTATCGGCAAGCTTGATAAGCAGCAAGGACTGACAAGGCTTTTAACTCGGGGTGTGTGATCACTTGCAGGAAAACAGGAGTTTAGGGAGGTAATTGGTGTTTATTTGACACATGGTTCATCTTTTCAAAGTAATGGGGATGAAGAAAGAAGTGCAGAGCATGGAGAGTCCTGCATTGCCATTCAGTCTTTCAAATTCCTATGGTTGGATCCAACACGTTCCTCAAACCAGTATGTACAGATGGATCAGAAGTTGCAGCTCTTGTTGCTGGCTATTGGAACATGCAAGCATCTCGAAAAAGAGAGCTTGTCCTAAGAGTAATTGGGGCATCAAGTGAAGTGTGCAAAGGCAGTGGTAGAAACTTTGCTACTGGAAATACACTGACATACAAGCAGTAGTCTAAACTGAGTTAACTAGTGGGAAGTGTTAATGAGTTGTGGAAATGGGTAATCTGTAGCAAGTGATGTAGCACTAGAACAAAAATACTGATGGCTTCAGTCATTGGTTCACAATGTAAAGCCCAGACTTTCTGGAATGGTTAAATAGTTGTCTAGGCAAAGCTAAATATTGCATGGAATTAATGAAGTCCATTAAGCAGTGTTGTAGGTCTGCTTCTGCACTCAACATCCATCATCTTTTGTACAGCCTACAATCTCAGTGCACCTCTGATATCTCCTCATTCTGTCTTGCCTTAAACAAACCATTGCTAGCCTGGAACTCTTAATCTGTCCAAGTGCTCCTGCGATGTCCCCTTCTAGCTGCTGTCTCATCGGAATGAGCAATCTGGGTGTTCCCTTAAGCTCACATCTCCTCCTCTCTCTTTCCACCCAGCCTATCAAAATCCTGATAGTTCTGTCTGCATAACAGCTTTTCCTCTCTGTACATACTGCTGAGCTTTCAACAAGGCTGTCGCTGATTTTGCATCTTGGTTACTGCAGCATCATTTCCTTGGCTTTGTAATCTGGCCTGTTTTGTTTCTCTTCAGAGTATTGCTGCTCAAGGGTCTAGTAGCCTCATATTTGACAGGGAATCAGCCTGCATTTGACTCCTTCATCTGCATCAACTCAGACATAAGCTGCATGTTCTGAACATGAACATCTGTAATGTTAACTCATTTTCCTCCTCTGAAACACTGTCTAAAATGCTGCTTTTATTCACGCCTGCAAAAACTTGAGTGTGATGAATTTACTAATGTATGAAAGCTGCTCCTCATTGCTTCTTGCTGTTACTCTGCCTGCCCCATCTGTATTCATCTGTTGTGCTTTTTATCTCCTTAACTCTGTTGATACTTGAGTTGTTACCGCTTCAAAGCAGGTATTTGTTCTCATTTGTCTTGCTCTCTGGGGCTTCCTGGGTGTCTAAGTTTGGTAGGCCATAGAGAGCTGCATGACTTTGCATCTTCACTTTGCTGAATCAGAATTGCTTTATTCCCTTTATTCCTGAATAACAGTCCACAGATGCTTCTTCCTGCCCCTCATGCTCAATTCTTACATGTCCAGAGATAGTTCTAAAGCTGTGTCACACCTATTGAGGTCTGGTTCACTCAGAGAGAGCTCTGTGGCAAGAGCAGAGTGCAATCTCTGTAGGACCTCCTTTGTCTTAAGTTTCCTTTCTTGAAGCATGTCTGCTGGAATTAATGTGCATTGAATCTATGTTTGTTACATCCTGAAGAATGACTCTTGGGATGCATTAGTCAGGTTTGCAATTGTCCCCACCATAAAATGTAAGGCATCATAAATGGCATTAACTTTTCTTGTTTCTGTGTCCTAGTTGTTCCGTTTCCAATTCTTTGCTTTGGTGTAGTTCTGTCAGAAGTGCTGTATTTGCCAGTAGTAGAAGGAATCCCATTCTCATGAAGAGCTCGCATTGTGAGTAATTAATTCAGATTGCTCATCTGTTTTCTGATTGGGGAGACCTTGGCAGCGTGGTCTGGTTGGACAGCATGGGGAAGAACTCTACCCTGCTCCTGTGGATGTGACCTGCCCTTGTTCCTGTCCTTGTAGAAGCAGTGAAATGCAGCTACCTGCTCTGGGCCTGGAGTTTAGACCCCAGCATGGAAAGATGACTTAGGGGTTGAGGCAAGCCACTTCCTGCCCCTGAAAGTGGCCTGGCACTTGTAGCCTCATCACGATGGTGTGCAAACATGGACACAAACCCATGATCTCACCTCTGTATCATCTGAGGTCCTCCTGACACAAGAAAATTCAGTGTCCTATTAGTCTTGTGTTACTGATGACAAAAAGCACTTTGCTGTCTTAATATATTACTATGACAAGCACTTTTAATCCCTTATCCAGATGAAATTCAGGCACTGTACATTGTTTATTAGAGGAGCAAAGGATCCAATGCTCTTGGCAGTGTGTTTCTTTTTAGTAAAAGCATTCTTCTAGCTCATCTTTCAGTTCACATTCTTTGGGTGCTGTAAGTGCAGAGCAGAATCTGCAGGCTGGAATTCCTTGAGCATGCCAGCAGGAATAAGGTTTTAAGGAAGAGTCTGGAATGTGGCAGGAGCATGTGAATGCAGAAGCTATAAAATAAGAAAGTAAAAGATGGCATAGCAGATGCGCTCAGGGCAGAGCAAAGGGAAGGGAAAAAATAGCACACTGCTATTTAGCTTGCCTTAAATATTCTGTAGGCTTACAAACATCAGTCACCCAGTCTGCTTTGAGATGTTGAGGGTTCTTTTTAATATAAACAGTTGATTTTGAAATGGAGTTCTAGAGCTGTGAAGTACATTTATCTTTCAGTTACACATAGCTAATAAAATCATTTGCATGGTACGTTTGTATAATTAAAGAGGCAGTCTATGTTATAGGATTAAGCATGTGAGCCTGGAATTCCAGAGGCTTTCTTTAATGAGCTCTTATGCTGAATATGTATTAATTTTTTTCACATCAGTTTGTGATAGAATTGATGATGAGGTTTATTTAACACATTGTGTTCCAGGGTTACATTACATTACATTGATCAGTACCAGCCCGCACTGTAGAAACCTTCATAGAAAAATGATTTTGGTGAAAGAGTAATGTGACAGCACATGAAATTCCTTGCTAATAAAAAAGCGATGTGAAATGTGTTTGATTTTCACCAAGATGACCCAAAAGACTTAACCAGATTGACATCTGTGAAGCTGAGCTATACTTATTCCTTTATAAACATATTCTTTGGTGCATAAACCATAGACAACTGAAACTTACTTGTCTAGGCACAGTGTAGCAGACTTCTGCCTTGTCTGCTTCCACTACTTTCAAAGAAATCACTAGCTTCCCAGTGCTTCTTATGCCTGTACATCTTTGCCTTTTTATGTATTTTATAGCAGAAATACGTTAACCATCCTGATTATTTATAGCTTCTGGGCTTCTCTTGAGTCCATGCTTCCACTTTGGTAATATTAACATCTTTTTAATCATAAGGATTAAAATTAAGTGATATGCTAGGGAGAATTCTGCATCTTGTCACTATGTTTAATTAGGGAAGGATAGCTAATTGAGGAGTGAAGATTACAAAGTGAGAACTCAGCACAGTGGGAAATGGTGTACTAATTGATCTCAGTTTACACATTTTGATTACCCAGGCAGGCTCACATGAAAGCAGAGGCAGTTGACAAAGCCATCTGCTAATCACGTTCTGTACGTTGCGGTTTGTCCACTTGTGTGGCATAAATTGGATTATTTGGTGGTTTTCTTTTTATCTTGCTGAGAAAGTAAAATAGGAAAAAGAAATCTAGAAGATTTAACTGCAAAGAGGAAAAAAATGCAAGCTGTAAGTGGAACCATAGTGAAAAAGAAAGCCCAAGGTGCAAAATCTGGTGCAACTAGCAGAAAATAGCAAGTATA